AGCTTAAATGTGTGGGGAGAGAGAAATATGGGAAAGGTGAGGTGTCATGTCCTGATCTTGTTTGGGGCAAGCAGGTAGATGGCAGACCGAGACCAAGAAGGTTTCCGGCAGGGAGATGATGATTCAGATTTGGGCATGTTGCATATGAGGCACCAGTGGGTAATTGGAAATCCGGTTTAAAGTTTGGGAGAGAGAAAGGGGCTAGAGGTTGGTTAATAACGGTATCTGGAGTCATGGTGATGAATGAGATGAACAAAGGAGAGAGGATAGTACGAGAAGAAAAGGCAGTCCAGGAAGGAGCACTGAAGCTTATGAATATTTAAGGAGTGCACAGAAGATGTTCCTACAAATAGAAATGAAAGAGAAGAAGCTAACATGGTGGAGGGAAGCCAGTGGTAAGAAAGGAAAATAAAATGCTTCTTTCATAAACGTTCTACTCGAGGACATATTGGCAATAGCTTCTTAGAAACATGTCTCTTTCTCTGTTTTCAAACTCTAAGACTAATTCCAAGCTGCTGCTGCTTCATCTTCAGCCTCGTCTTTTTCATCTTTTAAAATCTTTTGGTTTTCAGAAGCTCATGTCCTACCCAGCCAAGCATATGTTCTGCCAATGCTACAGATTTGAAGCCTAGTCCATCAAAACCATGGTCCGTCAAAGTCTACTTTACACTTCTTAGTGTATTGCCATTTATTCACTACCTAATTGGTAGCGTCTGGTTCGGTTTTGGTTTGGGTTACTTTCCACCCCCCCCCCCAAAATTTGCACATTGATATGGTTAAGCACAGAGCTACATGCTGCGTTATCTCATTCAATGCTTAGGGCAGCCCTATGGGATAAGCATCGCTATCAATATTTTTGATGGGAAAAAGGTGGAGACTTTTAAGGAATTAAAGATTTTGATTAAGGTAACACAGCTAATAAGTGAGTTAGAATCCGAACCCACATTTTCTGATTCCAAAGCCCCCGATTTGGGAAACCTGTTAAGATGGCATTGCAAGAATACGGTGTGAGTTCCCTGCCTTTGCCACCAACATATAATAAGAATGGATAAAATATGAAATGAGCTCATGCAAAAGTAATAACAAAAACAGGGTAAATATCAGAGATAGAAGAGAAACAGAAACAGAAAGCTACAGTGTACCACCTGGTCTTTGGAATGAGTGGCAAACATTACCCTATATATCTGAGGGAACTGGGGTGCCACATTTGCCCTCCAGGGAGTGAAAATCAGTGCCAGGTTTACTGGCTGAAACCGGAGTGTGGGATAACAGGAAGCTGAATAACGGGTTACGCCCCTGGAGCCGTGGTTTACACAGAGCTACTTACGTAGGCAGGCCAGAGGCAGCAGTCATAATCTGGCTGTCAGCACCTAGGACAAACTGCTGTTTGACTTCGTGGCTTACATCTATGCCCATTATCAGAGATTCTGAGTTGGGGGTCGGGAGGGTGTAGGGCCAACTCTATGACCATAGGACTGAGTGGGGCTAGCAAAGAGAGAACTTTTAAAAATCCCTCACTCAAGTTGAGCCTGAAAACAAAAATTCCAAGACAAGTGAAACCATACACACACACACACACACACACACACACACACACACACACATACAGGGAAAAAAAAGGTAATAAAGTAATTCCAGATGACGTGAAAGTAGATCAATTTCAAAATAAGCATGTTAGTATCCTTGAGGAGATAAAGAAATAACATCAATACAATTTATAAGAAAATAAGTAGAGATACAACAGTGAAAGTGGCTATGAGGAAAGAATCAATTAAAATTCCTAGGGGAAAAAATACATATACTCAAAAAAATTCTAGTGGACATAGTCAAAACAAAAATTAGTAAATTGGAAGATATCTCTGAGTAATTCACCAAAAATGCAACACAGAAGAATATATAAAATAATATGAAAGAGAATTTAAGGAATATGTATGACATATTGTAAAGCTTCAACATATATTTACTAGGATGTTCCAGAAAAAGAGATTAGAGCTAATGATAAAAGAAGCAACATTTGAAAAGAAAATTCTGGAGACGTGCACAACATAGAAAGATGTGTATCCTAAGATCAAAGTGTCTAGAAAGATGAACAACCACTCTGCTCTCTTCCCTGTAAAAAGAGTAATAAAAACCATATTGCCACTCTTTAGGAAAGCCTTTAAATGACTCATAATTTGTCAGAGATGATAGAATCCAATCCTATAGATTCTGCTCTATATTTGGATAGAAAAATCATCTTTAAAACAAATTGATGAATGTAACTGAAACAAGAATACAGCCAACATTATACTCCTCACTGAAACAGATGTCTACTGCTACATGGGTGGAGAAAACCCCTGATATTTAGTGACCACGAGAATTAAGGAAGTCAAAAAGTGTCATAACCATAGCATATGTCCAGGCCACTCAATCTCCTCTCTGTGAACTCATAAGTGCAGATGCAAACACACACATACACACACTCCAATCTGGTGTAATATAGTAATACGGGGAAAAGTACAATCAATTGCCAATATGTCTTATATATAAATAAGAGGGAGAACCGTATATTAATTTGTGAACTTATTTCCATTACTTTCTATTAATTTAACGCATAATTCAAACTTCTGTGGAAAATCAGCCTTATATAAGAAAATATACACCTTTTCAAAATCATGACTTTAAAATAATGCTAAGTTCAATTTCAGTTTTTAAAAGATTCTTTCACCCCAGTAACCAATCAGTAAGTAAATATGACCAGAAAAGATGGGAAATAGTAGTTTAAGATTAAATGTTAGGAAAATTAAGCAGATCTTTTTAATTTGTTTTTATGACGATTATTTACTTCCATTAGAGGGAACTCCATTTTTTGCGGCCCCCCCCCCCCCCATAGCATAGAAACTTCCTGAGTTGTGGTTAGACTTTATAACTGAGGAAACTAATGAAGTTCCCTTTAATTTTTGGTCTCGGGATTGGTTTGGAGGAAATAGGTGAGAGGGTAAACTTTTTTTTTTTTTTTTTTTTTTTTTTTACTGAAAATGATACCAAAAGGAGAAATTTTCCAAAGGTTACTCTCTTGGCAAAGCCTTCCATAAATCCACAGCCACACTTAACTTTACTAACTGAGCCATATTAAAGGGAAAACTCAAACAATTTATACCTCCTTTCTTGACTGTTCCTATCAAGATCATAACAAAAGCCTTTAAGAACACTGCGTGATACTGATGAGAACATAATCTTAAAAACCTCAAAATGTGCATGCAAACCAAAACTTCAACATTTTCTCTCAAAAAGGTTTTCACTCTCTTGCAGCACTAACGAATAGCTAGGAACCGTGTATATGAGCAAAAGAAAGAATGGATGTAACAGGTGACAAACATAATGAACTTGTTCTCTTAGAAAAGGATTTGTCAGGCACATTTTGCAATTGCTGAAAGAAGCTTATATCAAATCATAGGAATAACTAAAAAGTAATTATCCTTGAACTATGTAAATATCCGTGAACTATGTACCCTTTATGCATAGTTTTTGTATTAAAGTCAAGAGTATTACTTGGTTCTGCAACAGTTGAGAGTTTTCCATAAATCTTTGGGAAAGAAGAGTTAAGTAAAGCTTCAAAATTGCCCTGTAAGCGAAAACACATTCCATCTTCCTTAAAAGCTTTCTTGTCTTTACTGTAAAGTTTTATAGTTTCACAATCACTTCAATGTATTGTTTCCATTTATTAATTTACTTTAGCAAACAGAAACTATAAATTTCAAAATACAAAGAGCTGACTTTATTTTTTTTTCAAAATGATTATTCAAAATTTGCATTACAGAGCTGTTCTTTAAAAAAAAGTTTAAATGAATGTGAAACACAATCATAACACAGACCTCTCTATTTTCTCGAATCAGCATTATGGAAGACACATTTTTCACTTCATTCATTTGGTAACATCGAATGCAGTCACCGTGTTCATAAAGCTGCTTTTTCAACAAAGTCAACAACGGGAATAATGTCCTGGCACTTATTAAAGCTGTAATACTGAACTTGCAGTTTTTGAAGAAGAATCTCTTCTATAACATTTCTAGGAACACTCCCTAAAGCCTCTGATTTAAACAACAACAACAACAACAAGCACATTTAAAATACGATTATAAGTTTGGTTCAACTAGGAATTAAGCACCATTTACTCTCTGAGGTATTTTTCTCCAGAAAAAGCAAGCCAACTAACTTCCAACATATTTGCACCGAAATAAAAACTACTCGGTATTGTTTCAAGATAATTAAAATTCAAAACAACAACAACAACAACAACAACAAAATTGTGTGCAAAGTTTCTACAGTGAAATGTGAGCAAACAAGGCAAAAAAAGAAACAAAAGAAGTTTGCATGCTCCTTCTCCAAAGAGGTTTAAACAATTTGCCAGGAATAACACACATAAACTATAAGAAGGCAACTGCTGGACTCAAAACACACTTACTTCTTAACATGTAAAGATGCACTTTTTTTTCCTATTTTAGGTTAAAAAATAAGAGGACACCCCAGTGAGTCTTGCTGGCCGTCAGATAACGCACAGGCCCTGACCCTTTAACTGGCAGGAATTCTCGCACAAAGCTCTTTTCACACAGCCTGGGCTGTATATTCTTGAGATAAGGCGGCTGAACACGAAGCCGTGCGGAAGGGACACGAAGTGGGACCAAATGCAATGTTTACATATATTCTGTCACACCGCTGTTCCTTCATTATCTATTCCACAGACGATTTGCCTAAAACAATATTTATTCAGGTCGAAGAGAAGCGTGATTTCAACAAAAGGACAGTTTTAAGAAAAAGGACACGCGAGACAAGGCACATACTGTCTCTCTCTGTCAGCACTGCCAAGTTTAATGGGAAATCAAGCAGAAACAAAACCAGATCACCTAAGAACTCAAAAGAAATGATCCTGCTAGAATCTCCCTCCAGGCACAACAGATTGTCGTTACTTGTCTCACCACACAGAAAGCATATTTTAAATAATATCTTAAATCTGCACTCACCATGCGAAAGCAACAGTTGCGTGGCGTAAAAGTGTGCTATCTGCTGCCCCTGCTTCATTTCTGTTTTGCCTACAGTTGTCCAGCACCCACTAGCCCAGCCCGGAGCCGCCACCCAGAGGGCCCTTCCAGGAGCTGGCTGATTTGCCTATCAATCTGAGTCCCGGCTTCGGTATTAGGCAGCTGTGCACTTTGCTGAAGTTCTAATAGCGTTTCCGTACGCTGCCCACCGCCTCAAGTAGGTAATTTGTTCCTTCAGTTCGGTAAACACTCAAATCACCTTTCGGGGACCTCTCTGGGAACAGGCTTTAAGTTGTTCACCTTCAAATTAAGTTCTCGGTAAGAAGTGGGTGGAGAGAAGTAAGCTCGCTACAAGGGAATTCAGAGAGTAATCAGAACGCGGAGAAACTTCCTCTCTTTTTTCCTTCCTTGCTAGCTGAGCGGCCAGTGCCTCTTTCACAGGACTAAGGAATGTAAAGAGAGGACGCAAAGAGGCCCCGCCAGACAAGCCTTTCTCAATCAATTAGCTTGCGGCCATTACTTGTGACCTTAGGTCACGCAGCATAAGTGTGTGGGGTGTGCCTTCGGGGGTCCCAAGGCTACTTATTACAGCTGAGATAACCAAAACTAAGCAGACCCTAAAATCTAGAAACCTTTTTTATAGAAAATAGGCTAAAGACAGGAAGGAGACCAAAGGTGAATTCCAAGTTGCTTTTTGCAGGAACTATTTCATTCAGTCAAAGATACGATTTTTTTCTAATAAGAAAGCCCCCCAAATCTATTTCTTCCATGTTGGATCAGACACGATTTAGAACAAAGTAATGAGGTATTTCTTTTATATTAAATTCCAACTTGGGAATATAGAACTGACAAAATAGCTAATGTGTCACACAGATACGGGTATCACTCCATCCCTGAGTTCCTAGGTTTTGTTTTAGTTTTTTGAAGATACTGACTTCTATCAAACTGCAAAGTTAAACCACCGTAAACAAAGTTCTCTATGCCTAAGGGAATCAAAATCATACCACTTTGGGAGACAGAAATTGCTATTTTTAAACTCTTCCAAGATTACATGTTATCTTAATGTCATGATTTTTCTTTTCTTGTAACTACTTTAATTAGAATTCCATTTTGTTCTCAAGTTAAGACAAATGCTTCCTTTCTTTAATCAATATCAAAAAAGGAGACTTCAACATAAAGGAAAATAAGCGAACATGAAAGAGGAAAGCATGTTTTTACAACTAGAGATGCATTTAAACTTCATACATTAAGTTTGTGTATTTCTCAAAAATAATAGCCACCATCATTATCAATAAGTTAATGATGCAGAGATATCAGGGAATTTTGTTTCAAATCAAATTCATGCTAGTGAATACTATAATGCAATTAAGGAACACGTGCTTTACAGTGATTATATTAGCAAAGTTCCCCGCCCCAGACACACACAAAATAGCCATCACTCAAAGGTGGATTTGCCACAACCACATTTTCTCGCCCTTGATGATGCCACAAAGCCTCATCTGGTGCCACGCTCTATAGGAATGACAATATTCCATGTGGATGCTAAACTTAATGTTTCCATCTCATTAACCTTTACTTGGCCAGCTGAAGTATCTTTCAAATTGGACATTGTCTGACTTTAATAAAACAAACCAAAAATCCAAGAATGAATAAGATAGGTGAAAGACACAGGATGAGAGAGTACTATAAGGTGGATAAGATCATTTTGGGAAACTGTAGTAACAGAGAATGTGGTAATTAGAGTGTCAAAATCAGTTATAGGGGACAGCTAAGACAGAAATTGGGGGTTTCCACTTTCTCCAATATTCAAAAGGAGTCACTGACAGATTTGGAAAGGATGTTGACATTGATTCTAAATAAGTATAAAAAATAAAACAAGTTAGTGCAAAGACTGAATCGTTATGTTATACACCAGAAACTAATATGTTATATGGCAATTGTAACTCTATAAAGAAAATCAAATCCCTCCCCAAAATTCTTCCCATGTAGTAACAATTTTTTTAAGTTAAATAATAATTACAATAATGACTTGACACCATTTAGTGATTCAGTTGTGGTTGTTTCATATTTTGAAAACAAGCATTATTCAAAAGCATTTGGGACTCTTTAGCTACCAGATATGTAGAATATCAAGAATTCTAATCACTGCTTGAAAGATACCTCGTCTTTAGAAATTTCTCTGACTCAATGCCATTCTATAATTCTATGTTCCATATTCATGTGTTATAAAGAACAAACTCTGTTTTCTTGTTTCCCTCATTTAAGACTAACAACTAACTCCTGAGAGTCAGTCAACAAAAACGCCAGCCATATGCATCAGGAGTCTACAATCATCCGCCCCAAGGATCTGGCCTCTGCTACAACAGAGCTTCTACCTGCACTAAACAAAGGACTTTCAGATAAAGTGTAGAAAGGCCACCAACAACCTTCTTAAAAGACAAGACATACACCGGCATTCGAAAGAGCTTTGCTGATGTCATAGTAGATAGTGGCCATTGAGTAAAATGACCACAGACATTTCTGAATTACACACACCTTATGAAAAGGAATCCCCTTTGCCCAAGTGTGGTATCTTACATTGAGAAGATTGCTAACAGGAAGCTACTGAAAATAAGTTTGTCAGTTTGACCCCACTCTGTTTCCATCTTCATTTTATGTGGAGGAACTGTTACTCTAGATGTCATGGTGCTTTAATCAAACACTGCAGATAATTTTTGCCAAATTCATCTAAAGTATTTCAATAGCTCAGATAACTTTATCACCAAAACTCTGTCATATGTTTCAATTAGTTAAGAAGCCATTCAAAGTGATAGGATATAATATTTCTATATGAAATGATAAAGATGTCATTTCTAAGCATTACATAATAACAACAAAATATTAGCCACTTGTTATATGATGCTGACATTTCCCATAGTAATTCCATCCTGCATCTATGTATTTTTCCCTAATCATCTGCAATATTTTGGAAGATAGTCAATTTGGGATAAAAGAATAGATGAACCAAAATAAGTCTAGAAAAACATTGCTATCAAACTTGTAGTTTTCAAGACATTTGATTAGCAGTCTGCCATCACAAATTGCTTTCAGCACATTTTCTTTTAAAGCACCTACATAGAAAAACACAGCTTACGATAATTCTAAAAACTGAGATGAATCAAGGCAATTTCTTTACCATCCCTCTAAAGTTAATGTTACTAAACTACAAGAAAACAACACGGTCTATACACATAGACGAACTAACCCTATTCATTTGAAAGTCAAGAAAACATTTCAACATTTCTTAATTAACTAATTCAGATCCATGGACCTCTTCCACTAAAACCTTGGACTGCCATGAAATCACTTTGGAATCAATAGAAGGTGCTGCTTCTTGACTTACATAGAGTAGTATCCCTATAATACCATCTCTTCATATTTTGGCCTTAGAACCAGAAAACAGGAGGGAAAGGCCTGGCATGTGACACATTAAACCTCCCCAAATTTAGCTAAAGCAATGTAGGTGGTAGCAAGGGTACGAAGATGGGGAAGAGAAACACATATTACAAAGTATAGCTTTTCCTGCTTGTGAAACTGTCAGTTTGGGGACCGAGGAGACCACTCACTGTAGGTAGACAGCAAAGTCAGACTTCATGTCGGCTTCCTAGTCTCTAGCTGGGAGGTCTGCACACCAACCTGTCACCCAGCTGGGGTGACAGGAAGGGTATTTGACCAGCATAAATGGGTTTTAACCAGAAAGAAGTGGATAGTAAGAAAACAACAGGTGTCATCTGGTTGTAAACATGACATTGGATCTAGATCTAGGTTGATTTATTGTTGAGCAAGTAGAAAACAAATATAAAATGAGGGCCTATAGATAAACACAACAGAGACAATGGGAAAAGAAGATTATCAAAAGGATAGCAATAACTAAATGTATCATCTATTAAAATAAGTGAGAGGGGGCATTTTAAATAGAATACATGAAGACATGAGCCCTATCATCCAAAACAAGAAGGAAGAAATGGCCTAAAATAAAAACAAGATAATACAATGGAAATACACACTTTTAAAAAGAAAATGGGGGGCGCCTGGGTGGCGCAGTCGGTTAAGCGTCCGACTTCAGCCAGGTCACGATCTCGCGGTCCGGGAGTTCGAGCCCCGCGTCGGGCTCTGGGCTGATGGCTCGGAGCCTGGAGCCTGTTTCCGATTCTGTGTCTCCCTCTCTCTCTGCCCCTCCCCCGTTCATGCTCTGTCTCTCTCTGTCCCAAAAATAAATAAACGTTGAAAAAAAAAAATTAAAAAAAAAAAATAAATAAATAAAAAGAAAATGGAATAGTGGATAAGGAAAAAACTGAAAGATTATAAATAACACTGAAAAAGCATGAATGATATGGATGACAAACTTAAAAAAGTAGGGAGACAAGTTTGAAGTCTATAGCAATATTGCTGATGAGCTCAGAGGAAGAAATCTTGGAATGTTCTACTGGACACATTTTTTTTTTTTTGCCTAAGATGTCATAAAACATAAGGAAAATCTAAAAGAATACTATGAAAGAGGAAAATGTCCATAAAAGTGTGAAAAATTTCAACACAATGCATATAAGCTCTTGCACATTATTTTAAAGAAACATTTTAATGAAAAATATAAGAGGCACAGATAATTGTAAGAAGAAATAAAAAAATGAAAACTAAACCAAACACTGAGATTTAGTATATGTTTTTTCCTATTATTTGACAATTTTAAAATTAATATTCAAAGTAGATTATTCTGTGCTTATGAATGTTTAAATTGGAACAAGCTTTCTGGAAAGGAACTAGCTTATAGGTACCAAAATTCCTACGTTTTTCTTTTTATTTATCTGTTTATTGAGCAAATATTTATTAATCACTTACTCTGTGCCAAGAGCTATTTGAGGCACTGTTTTGTTTGACAAAATAGACCGTATTTCTTCTCTCATTTAGCTTAGGTTCTAAAATGTGGAGACAGAAAATAAAATAAACATATTGGGTCCTATTGAATACTAAGATGAAAAATAATGCATGATTACAGAGGTGGTGGATATGACATTATTTTATGTAGGTGCTCAGGGGAATGTCTCTCTGGTGTGGTAACATTTGACCAATATTCAAAACGCAGTGTAAGAATCCAACAAGGTAATACATGAGAGAAAACACTTCTAGAGAGGCACCCACTGTTGAAAAGGCTCTGAGGTGGGGCATGATTCCCAGTAATATTATATCAAGGATATACTGTATCAAAGATTCTTTTTTAAGAAACTCAAGACTCTTTAGTAAGAAAGTCTTCAGTGACACAGACCAACATTTTTGTCCAAAGCTGTTTATAGCTGCCCCATAAAATTGAAAATAAGAATATATCAATTTTTAATATGGTATTTTATGTAGCTATTTAAACAAAAAGCAGAATGAGACCTATAAATACAGAGAACAAAGTTATGGTTGCCGGGGGGGAGGACGGTAAAGGATTGGACAAAGTGGGTGAAGGGAAGAGAGATGCAGGTTTCCAGTTCTGGGATGAATAAGTCACGGGAATAATAAGGAATATAGTCACTGATATTGTACTAGCGATGTAATGAGACAGATGGTAATTAAACTTGTGGTGAACACAGCATAATGTCTAAACTTATCAAATCACTAAGTTGTACACCTGAAACTAATGTAACACTGTGTGTCAACTATACTCGAATAAAAAATTAAAAATATGTAAAAGAAAATAATGATTATATAAAGTTATGAGATGTGAACTTCAGGTAAATAAAAGCAGGAATAAAACAAACCCCACATAATACATGACTCAAATTTTGTAAAATAGGTGTCTGTGAATATAATAAAAGTATCAGGTATCCAAATGTTGATATCAACTGTCATCTCTGTATAGCGGAATCCTGGATTATTTTACTTCTTTGTTTTCTTTCTAAGTTATTTGTAATTTAACTGTATTTCTTTTATAAGAGAGAAGCATTCATTAAACAAAAGTAGAGGCAGGCATTACTATCTTATGAATTCGAGGATTCTGTTTATCACAAATCTTGATGCTTTCAACTTATTTTGGATTATTTACTCCCTCAAATATAGTCAGTCAGTAGTTGGAATGAGTCTTCCCTTATAATTAATTGAAAATTTTCCCATTCCCTCCCATTTCACTGTTTCTAATTTGGTACTTAGATCCACAAGAAAAATTTTAAATTATATATAAAATCATTTTCGTGTATGCAAAAAGCCTTTGTTTTCTCCTTTGAGAGCCTATGGCAACAGGCATCTTTCACTCAATGACAATCACCCCCAGCATCTACTACTTTGACCCTTAATTAGATCTTCCCGGACAATCTAAAATAACTCATGTCTGAGACCCTCCCAGTCTGTGTGGTCCCCAATGGATTGGTGCAGCAGTAGGAAAGTAAGAAAGAACATTACTGTAGTTTAGGATATGTGTAGCAAAGTGAGTGAGCAAGTACGGAGTTGAGTGAAGTTGTTTAAAAAGAAAAGGAAGGAAGGAAGGAAGGAAGGAAGGGAGGACAGGAGCGAGGGAGGGAGGGGAAAGGAAAAGAAAATAGAGAGAACTCTACATAAATGGATCATTAATAAACAGTGAAAGCTGAACAAAGTATTGAAATATAAAAGCAAAATCTCCTGCTGAGGAACAAGTGTCCAGGTTGTCCAAAATCACCTCATTCAACAACTTTGTTGTTTCAATAAATATATAAAAGCAGTCTGGTGCTATTACTTAAAGATGTTGTTAAAACAAAAACCATAAAACAAGGAAGTAAAATATGGAGATTAGAAATAGAAGAAAAGGGAGGAGAGAGCAGAGAGAGAACAGAGACAGAGACAGAATCAGAAAGAGACATGCACACACACACACACACACACACACACACACACACACACACACAGATAAACTGGCATAATCTGAAAAGATAAATGAATGAATACACTGGGAGATTGGAAGGAAATTGAAAACATGGCTCCTGAAGAGGTATAGGCAATGCATGTATGTAAACAGTTCTGACATAAGTTGCTATATCCTACAAGCAGAGGCTTTAAAAGAGAATGTAGAAAATAGCCTAATTGGATTGGAGATGATGGTAGATGGGGTTGAGAATGCTAGAGTGGTTGGAAAGTATGAGTTTAATTCAGATCACAGAAAATAAAGAACTTTACAAATTACACACACACACACACACACACACACACACACACACACACACAGTCACAAATTGGGACAAATTGGGATGGGTTGTGTGTCCTGCATGGTGAGAGGTGAAAACTGAGGCCTGATTCCATAGGAATCCATACAAGCGGCAAGTGTTGAGTTCCTCAGGTGAGGATCTGCTGTGAGGCCAAGGCTAAACTGGGGTCCTTTTATCTGAATTATTTTTGATCACACATGGGATACTGAGTATTCCCCATGCACCCTGTCAATAGATTCCATCGAGTTGACTCATTGCTCTAGCTGCTGGCAGCTAAATCTGCGTGGGCCCCAGAAACACCTGGGGAATATAGAGTGGTAACAAGTTCAATCAAGGAAAAGAGAGCAGAAGCATTAGGCACATGCATGCTAGTATATCAAGGCTCACATAGGGTGGCTGAGCCTCAGGCAAGAACTAGAGAGCGAGATTCTATTTGGCCCCTGTGGAAGAATGTCTGAGATAAACCAGGGCTCTCACAAGCAGGTAGTGAAGAACACGCTGTATGCTACAGCTTGAGAAGTGTGGAAAGACCACTCCACCCCATGTTATCTTTCCCTGTGGCCCACCTTATGTCCTCCTTCTTCCCTTTGGAGATTTTGGTGCCCCAAATCCCTAGAGTGTCAAGACATTCATTCTGATATGGGTGAAATATTCAGTCTGGAAACTCCTACAAAAATAAAATCATACAACACGTGAAAATGATATTCACCTCTTTATAACTATTGTCAGGCTTTAGATAAGGATATTTGGTACTATCCAGGGGGAATCCTGGGTCAGAGGATATTGCCAAGAAAGGCAAGCCTACCAGGATCAAGGATGCTGAATTCAACTGAATACTCTATATCACTGGCTCTAAAATCCTTGCTAGGCTGCAAAACTCTGGTTGCTCATGCTAATGTTAAAACTTAGACTCTTCAGCTAGATAACCCTAAAGAGCTAACCCTAGGCAACATACTACTTTGCCGAGCTCTTTGAGCTTGTATCCCAATGATCAAAACTAAACTTACAATTAGAAGGGCATATGCTGGTTTACTGAACACAAAGGCAGAAAAAGTTCCATGATTCCAGTTGAAAAATGTTCAATAAAGATTTGTTTTTCAGATCCTAGCTGCTATTTAATTAGATTGGGGAATTGTTACCATGTTTGTGATTTTTGTCCCCCAATTCTTGGCTAAATTAATTAACTTTGAAGCTTTTATGGAAAGGAAATTGATTCTAACCATGGCATGTACTTAAAAAGTTATGTAAATATCTGAGCTGAAGCACTTTGGGATATATTACACAGATTACACATTACAAAGTTTATTCTTTTCTTGCTCCCTAGAACATAGTTCAAGAAGAAATATTCAAATGTTGCAAGATACTTGTAGGTGCATAGAACAATGAAGATATGCTATGAGGTGTTGTCTTTTTTCTTAACACTTGTCAAATAAGAGAACATATCGGTGTACTTGTATTCCAGTGGAAGCCATAGTATCTTGGCTATTCCTTTTAATGGGCTAAATGTGTGCTGAATGAATAAATGATGCACTACAAACAGATAAAGCAATAGGATATAATTTTTTAATCTGTACAAATCTATACAAATTTCTCCTGAGAACATGAAATTGGGATGGTTGTCCTGGCAGATAGAAGTTCTGAGTATATTTTAGAAGGAAGAAAGTACAGCCACCGGACAAAAACTGTTCCAGGCATAAAGATTGGTAGAAATGTAAAAATGAACACTTGGGGAAAGAAAAGATGAAGAAAGATAACCAGAGGTTTCCACTCACTGGTTCCTTCATTTGTCACACCCCACTGGAATTTCTATACCAGCACTTGGATGCCACTTAGAGCCGATCCAGTAGCCAATCTGTTTCTCACATCCATGCCATTTTTCAGATTGTCTCTGGTGTTTGGAGAGCCTTGTTGCCACAATCTATTTTCCTGATCCTCTTCTTCAAATAACTTGTTCCTTCTCTGAATAAACAGCTTTGGTGTCCTGTCCTCTGAGCCTCCCAGATTCAATTTGATTCCTCTCCCTCAGTACCCAATTGCACTCCGTGACAACTACCTTTGTACTTAACATTCCTACTTAATGGTAGAAATTCCATCACTTTGCCAATTTTGTTTCATAGCTACCTCTTCATTCTGTTCTCTTATCGCCCCATTACCTCTGCTTTAACTCAGGTCATTGTCATCTACAGCTCACAGGGTCTCTTACAAAAGACTTGTAGCTGATCTCCCAGCTTCTCTTCATCAGTGTGATAATCAAACTGCTGACAGTTTTATTCCTAATGGACCATGCCAATTTCCTTCTTAAAGCCCATTTCCTCCCATTTCTAAAATAACAAAAATCTAAACTCTTTATTTTACTTAGCATTATTATATCTTCTCAGCCCATCCATGTTGTTGCAAATGGCAAGATCTCATTCTTTTGTATAGTTGAATAATATTTCAGTGTGTGTGTGTGTGTGTGTGTGTATCTCACATATTTTCATACACAGTGTTAGTTTCAAGTGTACAATGTAATAATTCAACAATTCTATACATTACACTGTGCTCACCATGAAAAATGCCGTTCCCATCTGCCACCAATGTTATGACAGTCTTATTGACTATATACCCTCTGCTGTACTTTTCACCTCCATGACTTATTTACTTTGCAACTGGAGATTTGTACTTCTTAGTCTCCTTCATCTATTTCTCCCATCTCCCCCCCCCCCCCACCCATATGACAACCAACAGTTCATTTCAGAGTTCATTTCATTTTTGTCTCTTTTTTTCTTTGTTTATTTGTTTTGTTTCTTAAATTCCACAAATGAGTGAAATTATATGAATACGTCAATCAAACAAATCTAAACTCCTGAACACAAGCAAAAAAGTGTTCATCATAATTTGACTCCAACCTTTGTAGTCAGTCTCATGACTCCATCCTCCCCCACCTTTAATCTATGCTCCAAGCCTATTGGCAAATGCCAAAGCAATCCATGCTCTTTAACATATGTATGCCCTCTGTAGAGGCGGTTTCTTTCTATCAGATGCCTTTTCCCTGTTTAGTTCTTCATAAAATCTCACTTCATCCCCTAAGACCCTGCTCAGGTGCTACTTCATAGATCCCTTCAGTTTCTGTCAAGTAGAACTATTCATTTCAGGTCCATGAGACCACAGCATTTTGCTCATGCATTTAATTTAACACCTACAGTATGGTATTTCAGTTGTTGATTTTTCTTTCTGTTTTTGTTTTTATGTTTTGTGCCAAACAAATGTTATTTTTATTCCTTTTCTATATCAATAGAAGGAGCTCTTGGAAGCTCCTTAGTAAGCTCTTGGAAGGCAGTAGAAACAGCTTTATTGGTTCTATATTCTCAAAGCTTACCACGATGCCTAACGTTAAGTAAATAATCAATAGGTTGTTGGAAAAAGAAAGAAAAGAAAAAGAGGGGAAAGGGAAGAAAGCAAAGTAAGTAAGATCTGTTTAAGAAGAGATACTATATAGTAAGAAGGGGAGAAAAATAAATGAAGACAGTGTTAAAATTCCATATCTGGGAAAGCTGCAATACTTCTGAAAGTGAGCATCCTCATTATGGAAGGTATGAAATTATGAGAAATGAAACTATCCTAAATCAAAGATTTAAATGATTCCAATTTTAAGAAGGTGAAATAAATATCTCTTTCTTTATCCTTTTAAAAATTATCATAAAGCATAAAGGAGAAAAAGAAACTCTAATACAAACTATGTTTGTTTCCTGTGACTGTTTGAACAAGTTCCTAAAAACTTGGGGGCTTAAAACAACAGAAATTAAGTTACTTACAGTTTTGGAGGCCAGGATTTCAACATCAATTTCACTGGGATGGAATAAAGTTTTTGGGCAGGGCCATGTTTTCTCTGGAGGCTCTGCAAAAAGAATCTGTTCCTTGCTTCTTCTAGTTTCTGGTGGCTCCTGTATTTTCCAGCATTTTCTGGCTTGAAGCCACATCACTCTTATCTCAGCCTCCATCTTTGTATCGCCTTCTCCTCTATGTGTATCAAATCTCCTTCCTTTGCCTCTCTTACACTAATGCCTGTGGTGGCATTTAGGGCCTACTTTGAAAATCCAAGATAATCTCCTCATCTCAGAATCCTTAATTATATCTGTAAAGACCATTTTTCCAAATCAGGTAATATTCAGAGGTTCTGGGAATGAGGACCTTGACATATTTTTGCGAACCATCATCAGCCTAACACACAAACTCAAATATTTTCTTAAAATAGAGACTACTATAACTCTAAACCATAATATATATAAAGACAAAAAGTGGAATAATGGCATTTAATTTAACAGAGTAGAAGAACGACAAATTGTGTAAATAGGAGATAATCATTAAAAGTAGCAAGCATACCCACATAGCAATGTGCAAGGAGAGCTCATTGGAATATCTGGGTATTGTCAAAGGTGGGATTGAGGATAGGAGTTAAAAAGAGACTGAAGGATTTAAAGAGACATAGTTAGACACCTACCTATGATCACACATCTACTATAAAGGGGTCAAGGGACTAACCCTTCTCACTCTTAAAGGAAAACAATGGTATATGGAGAAATTGAACTAGAATGACCCCCATCTATAACGGAAAAGGCAGCAAAAGGATGTGATACCAAAAACTGAAAGGTTACACGAAAGTCTATGTACATTGAGAACTGTGATGTTCTCAAAGTGTTTATATCCTCAAACAGAAGATTAAGACTTTTTCTCTTGAGTAAATAACTACTACAAAGGGGGAAAAAAACTCAGATACAGATGTTAATGTGCCTGTCCCCCAAAAAAGCCAACTGCTAACCCAGTAGATCACAGGTGAATCCAACCTGCTGACAAGTACCACCCCTTTGCACAAAATTCCAGATAAGATTTTAGTGTACTCCAATGTTTATAGCAGCACTTTCAACAATAGCCGAATTATGGAAAGAGCCTAAATGTCCATCAACTGAGGAATGGATAAAGAAATTGTGGTTTATATGCACAATGGAGTACTATGTGGCAATGAGAAAGAATGAAATATCGCCCTTTGTAGCAACATGGATGGAACTGGAGAGTGTGATGCTAAGTGAAATAAGTCATACAGAGAAAGACAGATACCATATGTTTTTACTCTTATGTGGATCCTGAGAAGCTTAACAGAAGACCATGGGGGAGGGGAAGGAAAAAAAAAAGAAGAGAGGGAGGGAGCCAAACCATAAGAGACTCTTAAAAACTGAGAATAAACTGAGGGTTGATGGGGGCTGGAAGGGAGGGGAAAGTGGGTGATGGGCATTGAGGAGGGCACCTGTTGGGATGAGCACTGGGTGTTGTATGGAAACCAAAATAAATTTCATAATAAAAAAAAGAATATGATTTAAAAGTCAAAGATCATCACTGAGAATCCATCAAGGAAAAACTACGAAACAAAATTAAGTGAAAGAAAAGAAGGAACCCAGGGAAATAGAGAATATACAGTGAGAATTGTAAGGAAGTAGTAATAATGACCCCACATATCAGAAAAGGTGTTGCCTTTATGAAACAAGACAGGATGCAATAAAACATAAGAGAAACAGGCAGAGAATAAAAGGATAATATTAATTTAACATATGATCATCAAAAGTGAAATTTTAGTAGAAGTATTAGAAGATAATAAGGAATAAATTCAAAAAGACTAACAGAAGAGAGAAATGATTTTTTTAAAGTTAGATCATCAATAGAGGTCATTCAACACTCCACAACTGGCAATTCAGGAAATGGAGATTAGAGAAAATGCTAGTAAGTAAATTATTAAGGATATAATATAAGGAATTTCTTTTTTCTTATTTTTTATTTATTTTTGAGAGAAAGGGAGAGAGAGAGAGAGAGAGAGAGAGAGAGAGAGAGTGCATGAGCAAGGGAGAGGCGGAGAGAGAGAGGGAGACACAGATCTGAAGCAGGCTCCAGACTCTGAGCTGTCAGCACAGATCCCAACGAAAGGCTTGAACTCATGAATCTGAGTCATGACCTGAGCTGAAAGTTGGATGCTTAACTGACTGAGCCACCCAGGCGCCCCAAGGAAGTTTCTTATAATTGACAGCATGATTCTCCAGATTGAAAGGATCTATCAAGTGTCTCAAGACAAGGGATGAGGAAAAACCCACTCAGACATATTCTGATAAAATTATAACACCAGAAATATAGAGAAGATCTCAAAGTTTGTTAGTGATGAAAGTAAATACTAATCAAAATATCAGGATCAGAATGACATTGGTCTTCTCAGCAACAGCATTGGAAGTTGGAAGGTAATGGGAAAATGCTTTTATTTCTGAGTGAAAAATGTTTTAAATCTATAATTCTATTCCCAGCCAAAGATTCAATCAAGAATCAGGTAGAATAAAAACATTTCTCAACATGCAAGTTCATAAAATGTTTATCACCTGTAGAACCCTTCTCAAAACATTACTAGAACATGAGTTCCAGCCAAAAGAGAGAGAGAGAGATAACTAAATAAAACGAGGACATACTTTCTAGAAGAGGCTACAACATCATAAAATGGAAATATAAATTTTTAGGATGATATCCAAAAAAACTCTGGATAACATCTTCTTATAGGGTACTTTACAGAGCAACCTGAGAAGATAAAAGTTGGAGAAAAGTGGCTCCCAGGAGGGTGTTCTTCAAGATAAAAGAAAAAAAGGAAAAAAAAAGAAAAAGAAAAAAACTAGATTATGTAACCAACTTACCTGTGTAAAAAATTGAATAGAGAAGCATCTTATAAAAATTTTGGAGCCTTGGGGAAGACTTAGAAGAGACAAGAAAGTAAGAAAGAAAAGGAGAAAGAGAGGGAGGGAATAAGAAAGGAAGACAAGGAAACTGGGCAAAAAAGAAAAATAAATGAAACACTTGTTATTAAAGAAAAAATGTCTGGGGTGCCTGGCTGTTTCAGTCAGTTAAGTGTCTGACTCTTGATTTCAGCTCAGGTCATGACATGATGTCACTGTTTCATGAGTTCAAGCCCTGCATAGAGCTCTGCACGCTGGCCCTGCGAGGCCTGCTTGGGATTCTCTGTCTCCTTCTCTGTCTCCCTCTCCCTCTGCCCTTCCCCTGGTCATTCTCTCTCTGTTTCTGTCAAAAAGAAAAAAGAAAGAAAGAAAAAGAAAAAAGTTCTACAATAATTTTTTGTCATATCCCGTCACCAGGTTCTGCAGCAAATGCTATTTGTGTAGTCCTAATAATTAAAAACCCAGATATGGATTCAAACTAAAATGTGACATAGCTATAATGGAAGAATAAAGTATGGACATAGCTATAATGGAAGAATAAAGAATAAAGTAAAGAATGTGGGGATTTTAAGAAAGCTTAAACTTTCATCTGTACCAGCAAGAGTCAATCAATGAGATCTAAGTTGAGGAGTAATGACCCAGATGGATGCACAATATGTAGAAACACAAAAGAAAAATAAAAATTGAAATTGAAAGTGGTTGACTCCCTGCACTAGTGCCAAAGGGTTTATTTCCTTTGGTATTTAACCTCTAAACTTATTTGCATTCTAAGTAGGTGTGTATATAGTTATGTGGTGGAAATAAAAGATACTTTTTAAAGAAACTTTAAATGTACCTAACCCCATCCTCTTTTCTTTGTTTAGGATTATCCAAGTTAAATCAAATAGGCATATGTCCTTTTTCTTCAAATTATTTCCACATACATAGATAGTAGTACTAATATGACTTTACTAAGTTAATGAATGAATGAATGCTTTAGAAAACACAATGCTCTCATAAAACAAATGTTAGATGCAGAGTTTGTACACGAGCGATATATAAATTTGATAGTAAATATCTTCTTGAGCAAACTTTCTTTTACAAAGAGAATGTGCATTCCTAATGGTATCCGTATTTTATTTTTACCTGATTTCCAGAATATTGGAATTTCTTCAAGGGAAGCACTGGGTGGGTATTGTTCTTTCCCATCTTTATATCACCAGGGGCATTCCAAATAAAACTGCTAGAGAGAAAAAATGTTGACCTGTAAATTCAAAATTAGCACTCATTCAAAAACTTTCTATAGGTATACTAAAGCCAAGTTTTACAAACTTGTTAATAATATCTTATTTTTCTTCCTTAACTCTAAACCAAATGTAATGCAACGTAATATCTTCCAAAGTACAATGGCCCTTTAAAAATAATATTCCAACAAAACTCACAGAGAGCAAAGTACAAAGAGTTTACAAAACAGGATGAGATTCTCCATTATTATTTCTGGAGTGCCTCCTAGTCTGATATTTTTCCTTCTGCCATTTTTAAAGAAAGTACATTATCCATAAGTCAGTCCAAGTCCTACTTATTTCCTCAGGAATAAGGGTCAGGCAACATGCAGTATCCTTGGGAAAGTAGCCTAAAATTACCAAAGAGGCCATCTCAGTAAGACATCAGGAAGCACAACTGTTTCCATTGACACGAACATAATGAAAACAAAATGCTCTAGAACTATGTGCTCTGTGAACCATAGTTTATAAAAATATCACACATGCTGTGTTTTGACCACCCAAGAGGAATCAAAGTCACTGTATCACTCTGCAAGCATCTTGAGTCCTACTGATGTTTATGATTCTAAAATCAGGAGCATGTTCCTGGGATACAATTAGTCAGTATCTGCTAAGGCAATGTTAGAAAAATAGCTTTAAAATTCTCCCTTTGTTCCTGACCTGCTATGGGAATTCATGGTATGCAACATCAAAGCGAAAATTCAGGTCACCTCTGTTGGATGTAGCCATGGGGGTGTGTGAATTAAAAACATGCAACAGGGAACCTGACAGATTCCTGTTTCAATCTGGTCTCTTCTGCGACTCCTCTAAAGGTGATCCCTATTGATAATCAAAGGACAAGCCTTAGACCATTTTTAGGATGTGCTGGTTCTCAGAGAAGTGATTTAAAGTGGTCAAATACCCCAAACCCTTCAGGAAATGACCAATAAAAAGGCAGGCCAAAATCGTGGTAGCTCAAAGGAAACAAAGAATTTCTGAGAATATTTCTGTTCAACATGAAATGGATGAGAAATCAAGCTGTTCAGGCACAGCTGGACAAGGTGTGGAAGTGAACTGTAACACTCCTGGTTTAGCTTCTCAAGAAGCTAAAAATTTTGGTGCTCTTAGGACATAGCTTCATGGGATGATGTTTCATGGCGAGCAAAGTGATCAACCATCTAGCAGCTGAGATCAGTGGGTCTTGTCAAGTGGTTAGACACTCAAAGAAATGGGTCACTTGTGTCCAAGAATTCAAAGCTTATGTCTTACACCTGATAAAAGTGCAGAGATATTAAAACATGTTAGTCTGTACTTGTCAAAAACAGTGGTCAACTGATAGATGTAAAGTAAGAAAAATATATATAGAAAGAAGACAAGATTTTGTTATTTGAACAAAGCTTCCATTTTAGGCAATCTGATGTCTCTTCCAAACATATCTTTAATAAGCCACTTCTGCAGATTGATGTACATTTTCCTTCCTGTCCAAAAGGTTGTATCACCTGCTTTCTACCTAACAAAACCCTGTTCCTCTTTGAAGCCTCCTCTCAAATTGCATGTCCATGGAAGTGTCTACTGAACTCGTCTGTGCCTCATTCTCGGCAGTTATGATATCTTGAGATGTGATGTATGTGTATATATCTCTGTTGAAGCCAATGCCTTGTGTTCTTCGTTACAGTGCAAATCCCATGAGACTGAGAACAAAGCCTTCTATTTTCTGTTTTAATTTCCTTAGCTCTCACCTTAATCTTACACAATTAACATGCAGTAGTTGACAAAAGACTCCGCATAATTTTTTTTTCATTTAGCATAAGTAATATTAGACAGCTCCTGTTTGGCTTGTATTACATTTTAGAGGGAGATTTATGCTGACTTTATAGAGAAATATTATCCAATCATCTAAAGCTTTTTCTTGCAAGTTATTTAGGAGTTTGGCTTAGAATAAAATGACAAACAATAGATGGACAATTCCAAGTTGTTTGTTAGGAATTCTACAAGTTCCTTCGATATTTATGGGCTTAGTAATGACTTCTTTTGTAATTTGCTCCATCTACACAGGAGTAGCATAGGTCTTAAAATTGTATTCAAACATGTTATTTCATTCAAAAAAATTTTTTTAATTATATTGCTCTTTAAATGATATCAAATTAGGGGCGCCTGGGTGGCTCAGTCAGTTGAGTGTCCGACTTCAGCTCAGGTCATGATCTCACAGCTCATGGGTTCGAGTCCCGCTTCGGGCTCTGTGCTGACAGCTCGGAGCCTGGAATCTGCTTTGGATTCTGTGTCTTCCTCTCTCTCTGCCCCTAAGCCACTCGCATTCTGTCTCTGTCTCTCTCAAAAATAAATAAACATTAAAAAATTAAAAAAATAAAAATAAATGATATCAAATTCAAGGTAAGGTATTAAAACTGACTTTCTTAATCATGACTGAGTTTAGTTCAAAGTCCACGTATCTCTTTGAAGATTTTTTTTCCCCAGTGAAGATTCAGATGATGTGAGAAAAATGGGTCTTAGCCTACAGGAGAACACAAAGCTGTGTAACCTAAGAAATATTATCAACCATGCAAGAATACAATAACTACAAGTTAAACTTAGAAAACATAAGAAACTCCTTTATATTCCTGACCAACTTGAAAATATAGCAAGTTTTTCTGAAAGTTCCTTCATTACTCATATGTTTTCTTTTTTGCTTACAGGGGAAAACATAAGATTTCCAACTATGAATATATACCTTGTTTTAAGTGAGTTAAAATGGGAAAAGCATAAAGGGCAACATTGCCTGTGAGTTACTCAAGGACTCCTAAATGCAGAATTGAGGCCCAATAGGAGGCCAACTATGTGAGAGCTATCTAAAAGGATAAAAATTCTCATGATAGAATTCTCGCCATCAATGAGATGAAAAAATGAAATAGACCCCCATAGAGGGAAAGACACCTGAGCACAAAAAACACAGGTTTGGGTGCAAAAGAGAGAAAGGTTTGAATCTATGCTCTGCTGCTTTCTACCAGAAAGACTTTGTGAAAGTAACTGAAATTCACCAGACCCCAGGTTCTCCATCTGTATATCAAGCAAGATAGATCCATATTCCTTGGTTGCTATGTGAATTAAATGAGACATATAATGTAGAACACCTAGCAAAATCCACGGAAAATGAGGGTCATTCAATGGGTGTACACTCCCTTTCTGTCCTACTTACAGGTGTAATCAGTTCAAGATAGCAGATGCATAATCTTATAGGAAAGAAAAAGATTCCCACTCGCAGAAAAGGTTTATAGAAAAGGGAGGATTTTAATGGCTCTCTGGGACAGGAAAAAAATTGGAATACAGTAAAGGTGTTCAGAGAAAGTAAAAAATTGAAGCAGTTAGAAAAGGTGTTTGGAGAAGTAAAAGGTTTACATGAAAGTAAAGTATAAGTAAAAGTGAAAAAAAAAAAAAGGTAGTGGAATCCACATAATTGGAAAGATGAGCCTGGGTGGAAAGAAGGTCTTATGTGAAAAGGTGATTATACATAAAAGTAGTAAAAATGTAAGTTGAGACCTGGACTGTGAATTCCAAGTGAAAGAGTGGAGACATCATGGAAAGTCAATGAAACATCAAGGAGAAACCATTTCTCTAGAGGTAAGTGGTGATATTCTTATGAAACTCAATTATTAATATTATAACTATAAAGCCCTTCCTATTGGAAATCTGTTTCTTTCAGTCATTACAAATAAAAACTTAACCTTCATTCAAGTTTAAACTGAACTTTTACCTTTTAAAGAGCATCACATTTACTCCAATTATTTTGCACCTTTAAGAAATAGCCAACAAGGCAACGAAAACCCTCTTAAACTATTGTATGCAGAATTGGACCAGGCCTGATCTAGACATGCATGTATCAGTCTAATACTGCATAAAATGAGCACGGTTTGGGAAGCAGAGCAGATCACTAACTAAAAATACTATAATGGATTTGTAATGGCCCTCTGTGGAATTCTTCAGATACAATAAAAACTCTTTGTAATGACAATAAATTGCACATATTATACTTATTATTCAGTAAGAACATATTTTATTTACCTGCAACATTTTTGATGGAGAGTGATGCAGTCTGAAAAGGGCCTCCAGACATGCTAATTTACGTATTCTTTTTGCTTACAATTTCACCACATTTAAGGTGCTGAGACTCTTTCTGGTTTTGGTGTATGACAAATCTATTATCATCCCATAGCCTATACGTCAGTCTTGGAGATCTGTTTAGAGATGACTTAACTAGTCTGAAAAGCAATTTGGGAGGGGGGAGGTGGTATTCAGAGCAACATAAGGCCAAAGAGCCATGGGGTCTACCATAAGCCTGGAATGACATTCATTTTTGAATAGCTCAGATACACAAAATTTACTCTCACTGAATAAAATTAAAGCATATTAGAAGCCCAGTGACGATGAACAACTACAACATATAAATGATATATAACTAATAATATCAATCCAACTTTCTTGCATTAATGGAAGATCTCCTGGGCTGCTTAATTTTATTGAAGGAGGAAGACAAAAACCAAAACTACTTCTATTAAATGATGAAAACAAATAATGTAGTAAGATCTTAATATTTTATAGAATACTAATATTACTCATAACAGTTCAGTTCTAATTGACCTTGGCAATGCAATAAAATCAATAATAAATCCATCACAGATTTTGCTTTTCTCTTTGTCATTTTTTACTCTGATTTTAAAATCCTGGATCACTGTTAAATTTAGTTTAATAACAAGAATAGTTTGCATTTTACGGTGATTCCCATTCTAAATCATTATTTACATTTTATAATGTTTATTTATTCAATTTGAGAGAGAGTGCACATGTGCATTTGCACGTGTGAGCAGGGGAGGGGCAGAAAGAGAGGGAGACATAGAATCCCAAGCAGACTCCAGGTTCCTAGCTGTCAGCACAGAGCCCCTTGTGGGGCCTGATCTCACAAACCTTGAGATCATGACCTGAACCAAAA